ATATATATATATATATATATATTACATAAATATAAAATTGACACATAACATTAAAAATGTTTGTTTAAGAACTTTTTTAGAATTAATAAGATATAATTTTGTTTTAGTTTGACTTTTTATTTATTATAATTTTTTTTATGTCTAATATGACCATTTTAAAATCTATTAATTTATTTAAAAATTATTTTATATTAACAATGTGTAATAAATTAATAAAATTAATCTTAAATAAACTAAAAATATATTTTTAAATATGTGAGTGTTTTCTTTTAATTTACATAAAAAAAATAGTTTACTGTTTTATTATTAAAATTTAGATTTTAAAAAAATAATAGAAAAACTAAAGAAAGAGATTCCTGAAAGTAAAATGAAAGAAAAGATTCCTGAATCATTTGATTTTTCTAAAGTGAGTGAACGTTTATAATAATTACTCCAAAAATCCTTCAAGTTCATAATTAATTTCAAACCAGTAATTTAGTATGGGGAATATGCATGATTTTATTAAATACTACTATGATATTATAATTTTATTTTATATAATTAAAAATTTCCAACACACTCGTAGAATCTTGCACACGATTTTGCAGACCCACTCCCATTTTGCGTATAACAAAATTTCCTTCTCCCTTCGCCTGGGGAGAGAGGTAGGTCCTCTCTCTCTCTCTCTCTAATTTCGGCGCTGTTATGAGACCTCCATTCGCGAAGAAGACGATCCATGTTCGTTTAATCTTATTCACTTCTTATCCTTGCCTCTGATTTTTGTTTATTATTGTTATTTTTGTTCAATTAAGTTTAATTTGTGAAATCTTGACACACTGCACAGGTTGTTTGATATATTGGATTGAACTGTTTTGAAATTGATGCTGTGGTTCACTGGTTGTTAATTCTGTTTTATTTGTTTTTATTACTCCACTATGGAGCACCTTCCTGTTGAAGTGATTGGTAACATATTATCTCTTCTCGGTTCTGCCCGAGATGTTGTAATTGCCTCTGCAACTTGCAAGAAATGGAGAGAAGCATGGCACAATCACCTTCACAGTCTTTCATTCAACTATTGTGATTGGCCCCTTTATCATGACTTAACCTCCAATAGGTTGGAAATACTCATCACTCAGACAATCTTTCAGACCAAGGCACTGCAGTTCTTGACCATTTTCATGGGTGATGAGCACGAGTTCTCCGCTGCGCCGGTCATTGCTTGGCTCATGTACACTAGGGATTCCCTGCGCCAATTGCGCTACAATGTCAGGACAACCCCTAGTTTCAATATTATTGAGAAATGCAGCAGGCAGAGGTTGGAGGTGTTGATCTTGGCTTGCAACTCTATCGCAGGCGTTGAGCCGAGTTATTTGAAGTTTCCTTGCCTGAAGTTGCTTTCTCTGAGTTTTGTTAGCATCTCGGCGTTGGATTTGAGCCTTCTGCTCTCTGCGTGTCCAAAGCTTGAGACTTTGGCTGTGGTTAGTCCGGAAATTGCAATGTCTGATTCGCAGGCTTCTGTGGATCTTAGCAGTGTTTCTTTGAAGGATTTCTTCATTGAATCGTTTAGTTCGGATAAGTTTATATTGGAGGCGGATTTACTTGAGAAACTTCATTTGAAAGATTGCACCTTTGAGGTTTTTGAGCTGATTGGAAAGGGGACATTGAAGGTGTTGAAGATTGATGATGTGAGTGTCATCCATCTTGATATTGGGGATGGCACAGAGAACCTTGAGATTATTGATGTCTGTAAATTCACAATTATGTGGCCAAAATTTTATCATATGATCTCAAAAGCATCAAAGTTATATAAGCTTAGGCTGTGGGGTGTTGTTTTTGATGATGAGGACGAGGTTGTTGATATAGAGACAATTTCTGGTTGCTTTCCTCGGCTGACACATTTGTCCTTAAGTTATGATTTAAGAGATGGTGTGCTTCATTATGGCTTGCAGGGTTTGTCTTGTTTGATGAATGTGGTGGTGTTAGAACTTGGGTGGACTGTGATTAGTGATCTTTTCTCGGTATGGGTAGCTGGACTTTTGGAAGGATGTCCCAATTTGAAAAAATTGGTTGTTTATGGTGTTGTTTCAGAGGTCAAAACACATGAAGAGTGCCAAATTCTTGCCAGATTCTCTGAATTCATTATCCAACTTGGAAGAAAATATAGGCATGTAAAGTTTGAGTTTGAATATGATTAGTGGTTTCTTTTAGTCCTTCTCAAAGTGAACGAAGATCCTTGCGTGCCCCGTAAGCTTCTTTTGTCTGTTTTCTTCTGCCATAAATCACAAGAATTCTTCAATTGTAAAGTTATAGATTCTTTGTGTATAAGAGTGAATTTCATTTTCCATCATAACCCCCTTTTTGTGTGTGTGTGTGGGGGGGGGGTG